CTCTCTTTTTCATCCCCCAAAACCAATGTGGTATCTTTAAAGTTTTGCCATATACAACACAAACAGAACATAGTGATTTCTTACACAAGCATTTTATAGGATGGATATAAGCCACAAGCCCCATTCTGTGTTGTCCTACAATATAATCCCTGTCCTGGAAAGTAAGACTTTTTCCTTAACACACAATTTTTAATAGACAGGAAAAAAGTCTCCCAGCATGATCTGAATTGTCTATGCAGCTACTAGGTCATAATTATAAAAAGCACACCAAAAACAAGGACTTGTTTACATTTAAGCAATCAATTATTCAACTGGTCATACAGAAGTGATGGAAACACCAACATGTCCATTCTCACCTCCCTAACTTGGTTTACATTTTCCCCTTTCATCCACATTCATGACAACAAATCCTAATTTCATGTCGCCACCTTGCAGAGCCAACACTACCGACACTAGCGACAAGGAGTCCTGTAGCACCTTATAGACTAACAGACGTATTGGAGCATAAACTTTCGTGGGCCAAGAACCACTTCGTCAGATTCATGTAGTGGAAATTTCCAGAGGCAGGTATAAATATGCAGGCAAGAATCAGGCTAGAGATAATGAGGTAAATTCAATCAGGAAGGATGAGGCCCACTTCTAGCAGTTGATCTGGAGGTGTGAACACCAAGAGAGGAGAAACTGCTTTTGTAGTTGGCCAGCCATTCACAGTCTTTGTTTAATCCTGAGCTGACGGTGTCAAATTTGCAGGTGAACTGCAGCTCAGCAGTTTCTCTCTGAAGTCTGGTCCTGAAGTTTTTTTGCTGCAGGATAGCTACTTTTAAATCTGCTATTAAGTGTCCAGGGAGATTCAAGTGTTCTCCTACAGGTTTTTGTATATTGCCATTCCTAATATCTGATTTGTGTCAGTTTATTCTTTTGCATAGGGACTGTCTAGTTTGGCCAATGTATATAGCAGAGGGGCACTGCTGTTACACGATGGCGTATATTACATTGGTAGATGTGCAGGTGAATGAACCAGTGATGGTGTGACTGATCTGGTGAGAACTTGCTTCAGGTTGGCGGGCTGTCTGTGAGAGAGGACTCCCAAGGCCTGAGAAAATGAGGGATCATTGTCCAGGATGGGCTGTAGATCACTGACGATGCGTTGAGAGATTTTAGATGAGAACTGTAGGTGATGGCCAATGGTGTTCTGTTGGTTTCTTTGTTGGGCTTGTACCGCAGCATGAGGCTACTGGGTACACGTCTGACTCTGTCGATCTGTTTCCTTATTTCCTTGTGTGCGTATAGTAGTTTCAAGAATGCTTGTTGAAGACCTTGTAGCTGTTGGTCTCTGTCTGAGGGGTTGGAGCAAATGCGGTTGTACCTCAGTGCTTGGCTGTAGACAATGGATCGTGTGGTGTGTCCGGGATGGAAGCTGGAGACATAGCGGTCAGTAGGTTTTCGGCATAGGGTGGTGTTTATGTGACCGTCACTTATTTGTACCATGGTGTCCAGGAAATGGACCTCCCGTGTAGACTGGTCCAGGCTGAGGTTGATGGTGAGGTGGAAGCTGTTGAAATCATGGTGGAATTCTTCCAGAGTTTCCTTCCGATGGGTCCAGATGATGAAGATGTCATCAATGTAGCATAGGTGGAGAAGGGGTGTGAGTGGACAAGAGCTGAGGAAGCGTTCTGGGCCAGCCATAAAGATATTGGCATATTGTGGGGCCATGTGGGTGCCCATAGCGGTACATCTGACGAAGTGGGTCTTTGCCCACGAAAGCTTATGCTCCAATACATCTGTTAGTCTGTAAGGTGCTACAGGACTCTGTCGCTTTTGCAGATCCAGACTAACACGGATACCCCTTTGATACTTGACTGCCTACACTGATTTCTATTTACACTAAGGATTGATAGACTTTAAGGTCAGAAGGGACCATTATGATCATCTAGTCTGACCCCCTGCACAGTGCAGGCCACAGAATCTCACCTACCCCTCCCAGAATAATCCTCTCACTTACATATCAGATATTGAAGCCTTCAAATACTTTGAAGACCCCAAGATGCAGAGAATCCTCTAGCTGTGATCTGTACCCCTTTATTTCCTTAAAATAAAGATGTGGACTCATATCTGACTGCTGCTTAAGCCAGTACATATCCAAGTCTTGAGAAAAGTGTACTTACACCCCCTCACTTTCCACCCAAACATCTCCAAAGTGTGTCGGATATTCGTTTGACAAGCTCATTCTAAGAACCCCACTTCTGAGATACGACATTAAAAAAGATAAAACCAGAAATAGTAGTGTGTGCATGAAGAGAAGAATAGGGGAGGAAAATTAATTCTATGAAACTTCGTTATGGCTAGGTCTCAGAATAGCCCCATAACAAATTTCAGTATGTTTGCCTTGATTAACCCCCCCCCCTCACCCCCAGATATTATATGTAGAACAAAGAAAAAAAATCAGACTTCTATGTAGTCACTTTACTTATAAGAGTTTCATATACATTAGGATTTTAATTTGATGAAAAGTCTTGTAAATTCTACCTTCACCATCCCAACCACACTTAAAACTTCCACTGAACCAGTCTTACACATGTTACTATTCTCAAAAGTCTTTTCCTATTACAAGCATAAGTAGCAAAGACTGACAGTTCTGATAATACACAATGCTGTTCTTACTTAGCCAGGAAAAAGGAGTACCACAGCCTGGAGTAGTATCGTGAGAGGATTTTTTTTGTTATTGCTGGGGAGTAGCAACATGCTCAGTGCTAGACAAAAGACAGGGGTAAATACAAGGGTGTAGCTTGCATCACTTGCTGGATATCACCCCAAATCAGTTGAGGGATAAACATCAAGGGTCTGGTTAGGGATGTAAGCGACTCTCGACCATCTGATAAGCATACGCTTATCAAATAGTCAATTAATGACTCAACTAGTTGCATTCCCCCCCTCCACACACACTTGCTGCCTCTATCAGAGAGAGGCGTAAATACAAGGGTGTAGCTTGCATCACTTGCTGGATATCACCCCAAATCAGTTGAGGGATAAACATCAAGGGTCTGGTTAGGGATGTAAGCGACTCTCGACCATCTGATAAGCATACGCTTATCAAATAGTCAATTAATGACTCAACTAGTTGCATTCCCCCCCTCCACACACACTTGCTGCCTCTATCAGAGAGAGGCGGGGGGGG